ACCCTCCTTGTTTTTTAAAACGATTTTATGATGCTGCGGTCTGTCTGTTGGATTGTTCTGGCGTCTCCGGAATGCCATGTGAAATGGTTTCTGTAGGACGCGAGTTCTCACTCTACCAAAATGTGAAAGAACTCACGATACAGAGCTAAATCAGACACGCACATGCATATCCAACCGACTCTCCGAACCGCCATCGCGACAACAGAAGTCAATTAAATGTTTCCGGGGCCCCGTCGACATGTCGTTCAAAGGAAACTGGTGGATCCACCTTTTGTTAGGCGTGATGTTGCCTGCTCTGCTTACTGTGGACAACACTACATATGTTGTCCTTGAACGTTTGTTCTCAGCCGTGACTAACCGAATTAGGATTTGACAGTATATGATGAATGGCCTGATATACTTCGCATGCCAATTACAGCATATTATCTGCAAGCGGCACACTAACTGAATGTCCATTTAGCCAGCAATGATGCTTATTCTCATTGAGTGTGATCCATTGGCGTCAGCGTGAGTGAATCCCATGTCGTCCAGGCAAATGTTTTTGGTCGGAAGATGTCATTGTAGAGGGCTAGGTGTTGGTGAGAAACAAATATAAAATTGTTCGTTTCTACCATGAAGCAGCTTTTCGTAGTATTAATGACAGCATCTTGTATGCAAACAACCGACTTCTCCACAAAGATGGACTCAAGTCTACCGTATCGCTTTCAGCTACCGCTGGGGAATGTCCGTTCGAGACTGCTGCTCTCAGGGCTCAACATCCGTGAAGCCGAATTCTTCTTACGCCTTTTAAACAACAACAGCAACACCAAAACGATTCCACCGATAATTGACACGCACGTCACCATGTGAACAACAGCTACAAATGGGTTTTCGCCTCAGTTTCAGTTCAATTTTGACAACCGTCAACCATGGATTTCCATGTGACGGTTTTGCGTGACTGCCCCTTTTGAATGAAAGAGTGGAAGGAAGATTTTAAGGTTCAGAGCCAATTCAAACGGAAAATAGAGAAGTCATAGGAACTAGAGTTGCATGAATAATGAGTAGATGCACGAGCGCCATATCACCCAGCGTCTTTATCCCATAGTTACATTAATCTCAGGGTCTCCATCCAGGGAGCCCATTGGGGCCTATGTGACCCAGTGTCATATTTAGCCTTTTGATACTCTCATCCCAGTTCTTATTTTGACCACCCTTGCTGACCTCCAGCCGCTTCCTTCCTCGGATATTGAAATCTCTTGTCTCCTAAAAGTTCCTGAAGTAAATGTACAATATCCAAAAATCCTTATGTAGAAATCTTGTTGATAGGACCGGAACGGTGGATAACCTTGATAGCATTCTGCTCACCGTATGTGACCCCGCGCATACGTTCGCTTTTCAACGACCCAGTTTAATTTTTTTCAGTGCACTTTCGACGATTTTGTTGCACGCTATGCAGGTAAGAAAAACAGAATATGGCATGTGCATAGTCGAACAGTGTTTGAATCTCTTTGGACGATCCGCCAAGCAATCCTTGCCTTCAGCGTCTAAAATGAGTAATCGTGATTGAACATCCACGCTTTCAGAAGTGATAGAATTACCACAATGACCGAGGTACATGTTATTGTGATATTTTCCCCGGGACATTAAGTGCTTTGATGAAGTTCTACTTCTTCAAGACGGCTTGGCAGGAAACTGTGTAGGGTTTAGCCATTGAACTTAGTCGGCTACATCATGTTAGGAATCCTTAGCTAAAGTCCCCTGTACAAAAGTCGTCTTATGATTCAAAGCATTCAGTGCTACCAAACTGATATTCACTTTACCCACACTCTGCACGTTTGTCTAAAAGAGACATTACGTTTCGCACTTCTTCGTATTTCTGTTAATTAGTCTGCGATGATTGGAGTGTTTCGAAAAATTGATGCGCCATGTGTTTTTTTTTATCGTGAATGATAATGTTATGGTGTTAATAACACAGCGATGTCGGTAGAGAATTATATTCGTCGACGTTTCGGTTACTGTGGGTAACCTTTCTCAAGGCAGGTTTTACAATCACATGACTCAGGGGAAAGGATCACAAGTTAACGGATATCTCATCGTGTGTTTGTTTGTCTGTATGTGGTGGACTGAGTGATTCGTTGTCCGTCATACTTACTCCCATTATCAGATCTGTGATGTTGATAATTCTAATGGTTAGGCGTTTGTGAACGAGTATCTTTCAGGGCCGTGTTTTTATTCTACTGATTTAGCTGTTGATGACAGTGAGAGGACTGGTATATTCAGACGACCGTTCCCATCAGACGTTGAATGTAATCGATCTTCATTCAACGCACTCCGTGCCGAATCAAACGCTTTTCAAAAGGCCTGTTGGCGGTTTCGGTGTCTGTATAACCACTATTTTCTGACACCATTTGACTCGAACGAAAACATTACTGAACCGATTGGCCCTCTGGTTCGCATTTGGCGCTTTGTCATGCCTTGGTGGTTCCAACCACGCGATCCCAATGCCCAGGGTTAGTTCTGTTTACCTTCACGAACTGACAATGATAAGGGTTATTCTATTACTCTTTTCGTTTTTATTCTGTTTTGTGGTTTATTATTCTGATTAAACACCTGTTACATCGTGCCCCTTCCATGTCCAGATCCATTACTCATTTTTCCGTTTGTCTTGTGATCACTAATCCTCTTGTTATTCTACGTGTCCTAAAACGGTGTAATGTTATTAACAGTAAGGTGTGAACTGATTGTGAGACGGTAAAGGTAATCCATGCTTTAATGGGCCCGGTTGTTTCGTCATCATCATCGTACATCGTACAGTGAAGCGAACTCCTCATCTCTATCAAACTTGTAGTACTCGCAAAGTAATTGACAATATGTATCGGGACAGTGGCTAGGAATATCTAAGTGAACCGTTATCATCAACACCCGAAGTAGAGAAGCATTCACGGCTTTCAATTATTGTGGTTTGATGACAAATGGCCTCAAGAGCACCACTGCTGTCGGTTCGCTGCCATATCCTTCGGGGTCTCCCAAAAACAGTTCGGTGGCACGGAGGAGCACAATCACCGCCTAGAAGACTTTCTGATGTGCTCTTGTTCCGAACTTCGAGCACGCCTATAACGGAGCTTCGGCTCGACTGAATGAGTTCGGTCAGTTTATCATATTCCTCGTCTTTTTGTGCGTCAGAACCGCAGTCGATCGGTACAGATACTGAGAGAATGAACAGACACCTTTTGGTGTTGCTTCTCTTTCGGACGCTGATGGATCGCTGGAGCCGCATCGCGCATAAGCGACTGTTGACGGGGTTCCAATCGATTGGTGACGCACCGGCTGTATTATTGGGTACAGTGACTACTACACGCTGACCTATTGAACGGGCTTCGTCATCAACTTGTTCCAAGGTACTACTCACTTTTGTGAGTAGCACACAAAATAGTGCGGGTGGTGTTCTCCTTCGATAATCAAGAATTAACAAGACTAACGAAAGCAAATTGCTGAATAACTACCGACTGCTCCGTTCATTACCCGGTGTGCTACCGGAAACTGCGACGGTATGTTTCAGATGAGATTGCTGTGTTATATATGCCAAATTGTGATATCCGAACTGTAATCTACAATAAACCACTATCCTTGACCGAGCACCGCTTTGTGGAATTATAAGAACCTGATGTGTGGAGGGTGTACCTCGAGAGCAAATCTGGTGCACTCAAGGATCCTGGATTTGCGTCTCCCATACGCCTCAGGCAATAATCCCGTAACCTGCATAGAAGTCTTGACTTGGTAGGAGGCTTTCGATTTGAGTTAACAGACTGTTATCTGTGTCTTCTCCTTTCGTTGCTGTCGGGCCAAATAAACTGACTGACTAACACTGAAGACGACACCATGGTATAAGCTGATTGACAGAATGGTGACGCACACACCTTCCATGCGATGGGTTCGCATATGAAATCTCGATCGGGACGGTGGATATTCACTACTGATGAGCTCTAATAACAGCGAAACTCGAGTCTAGTGCGTCCGAACGTATGGTTGAATCGATGAACTGAGGATGGTACGCGAAAGTGAAGTTCGAGGGATAGTTAGTTCAAATCAGTCAATTCCTAAGTAGTCTATCGTATGCACAAGACAAACTTCTTGTCCCATCTGCTTTAGAGTCTGCTCGGTCAAGGCCCTCAAATTCGTTGGCAAAATACCCCCCGGTAATACTTTCAACGAGCTTTGGCCAGTGGCAGTCAAATTGTGTGAGAGATTGTTACCGATCAGAAGAACGGGCAGAAAAAAGGTTGGGTACGGACCGCAAAGAATTATACACAGGTGGGGATTTTCGTGCACTTTTCATTGGTTATCATTACCTACTCCCTTGGATACAATGGACATCGCGGTCCTGCCTGTTCCGCACGATAAGTGGTGACTTATAGAACTATGTTTAGTTTGCGTCGGCGTGAGAGTTCGATGACCGGGTACTGTTAGGGTGTCCAGTCACTAATCAGGAGAACGATTTGGGTTCTCGTCCATATCCTTTCGTTCTAGCAAGAAACTAACCACAAGACAGCTGGTAGTGCGGAGTGTAGGCTCAGCTACTTGAATCAATTACTCCCCTACCATTTGATCGTGTCAGAAAGCAACCAGCCTGGAGGACCAGGAAATTGAACCTTGTCTTACCTGTACCCTCTGAGCTCTCAAGCATGATCAGATATTTTGGTTTGATAGAAACCGTCTTATGTAGCTCGTTGGGTCACAGAAGGGTGCAAGCCATAAAACCACGACAAAGTGCAGTTTCACTTGCGAATATCCCTGCAGTCATTTAGCGTTATCGGAAGACGATCATCTGGGAATCCGGTATCGAAAGAAAATAATGCGGTCATCACAACTAGCAGTGATCGTCTGATGACCCATGAACTTCGCATTGCACTTAACTGACAATGACCATCTTCAAGATCGAATCAGGCGGAAAAGTATGTTTGACTGAACAAGTCAATCTCAAAGTTGTTTATTCCAGTCACGTCGGGCTCACCAAGTTATAGATGCATGCTGGCGTTCAACCCCTAAAATCCCGTGTTCAGTGTGTACTCGGTAAGTAGAGGGATAGCAGCCAGTTAGAAAAAGTATATTATTGTCCTTGCTCGAGATTATCTGAGATCAGGACGTGTAGCGAGAGATAGTGTAATACGATCTCACGCATATTTCGAAGCGACCGAGTGCATCGGGATAATCTTCTTCGGTGTGAACACCGTGAGAAGTGGTTTGCGGTCTGTGAGTAGTGTGAATTCATATAGACTGAGGTTACAAGAGAAATAAGTAGATGCATGAGCGCCACTGTTTGCGACTACTTGCACCAGTGGACGACCGCGTTTACCTAAAACTCTACGCCTAACCTTGCTGCTCCGGTTTCCTTACGAGACTCGTGCAATCTTCGATCTTCCGTTTGAATCTGCTCTCAACATTCCAATCTTAATTTTGCTCTTTCATCCAAACGGGCGGCCAAAAGACAGCAATCAAAACCAGCGCTCGAAAGTGCATGCATGGTTGTAAAAAGTGAAACTGAGTAGCGTGAGGTGGCGGTCATGAAGCATCCTATGAAACTGCTTCAACAGAGAGATGGTTGTCAGTGCCTCCATCAGTATTTGTCCATAGTTCTGTTTCATCGCTTTGAGAGATCTAAGGGCGTAACAAATCACCTGCTCTGAAGCGTCCGGGAAAATGAGCACCCGATGCCATCGTATTTCGCAGCTTAGAGCTGAAATGTAGTAACAGGTTCGGATTTGGCATTACTTTTACACCATTAAACTCTCTTTGACAGTCCAGCGACCATGCCCATTTCACTCCTTCCTTCAGCATCGTATTCTTCTGGCAAGAATGAGGTATAATAGCTTAGCAGGCTCAAGATTGATCGCACGCAGGCCGAGGTGTGTATTAGGGAGAATCATCGCACCGTATGCACGAATGAATCATCACTTCCTGTTCCTGACTCGGAGTGCTACAATAAGGAATCCTAAGAAAGCTCGGGGACCAATGACGGAACAGGAGAGCAATGGATTGAGTGAGCATTTGATATTGACCACAATAATGGTGCCTACCAAAAATGTGACGTGCGAGCCAATTTTGTCTATGTGCACCTTGCGTTGTCCCATTTGGCGGTTCCCGATAGCTGTGAATGAAAGATAAGTAATCGGGGGAGAGGAGGGAAAAACAAAATAGAAAGGGAAATAATATGTACTGGACTCAAACGCGTTACAAACAAGGATGGAGGGCGACATGATGAAAACGACAAATCGAAGCATATTGTGAACAACGAATAAATAATTAACTGTGACAGATAGAATCCCAATGGGATTACGAGTACGAGCACGCGGGTTTAGATCACTATTCTGAAGGGAGACCTGAGAATAACCAAGTGGAATTCCCATGGTTTTTGGTTTTTCATTCGCACTGAATAAATCTGCTCTGAAGTTAATTTTTACGCTTATTTTCAGCTGAACAGTGCATGCGTGTAACGATGTATAAAGCTCATATGAACAGTACGAATCACATAGAGGGAGTGTGATAGTTAACTCCATATTAGAGGCTGATCGAAACTGGCCACTCAATATCCACCGCCATTGATAAGTTGGTACTCAAATGTGTGTGCGTTTTCACATTTATTTTGTCGTTTTATTGATTGCTCTCCGCTTCCTCTAGAATACCAAACAGTTTGAGTACAACTATCGATTCGTGCAAACAGTTTACCCTAACTCTCGTGCTGAGACCATTGGCAGTGGGCTTCCGCAATGGATCCGTAAAAGGAGTAGAAGACCGGTTGAGACTACCCGAAGCTTAAGTTACCGAAGGCCAATAAGGAGAATGGCCGCCTCCGTGAGATCCATTGCATTACCTAGGTTTTCCTCCCGGCGAATAATTTGATCCCGATTTCCCTCGGCTGTAAGTGTAGCAATTACCAGATGAATGCAATCTAATGCCAATATCGAAACACGACAGTTGTTTGGATGGTAATAGACCAACTCGCGGATGCCTAATTTCGGTTTATCAAATAATGATACGGATCACTATCTTCATCATCGTATTGCAGAATGCAGTAAAGCTACCTTCATTCCTTGCTAGCACACTAGCTATGCGTTCCAATTTAGTGATAATATTCAAATTGGACAGAGATTAGACCTTTTTTACTGAAGGGGAAAGTATTGAACCTCTTTTGTCCGCATAAAGGATACACAATTTAATTGTGCATACATACCGTTTCAGGGATTCCGTTCTGATTAGAAATGACAAAGAGAACACCACTTCTGTCGGTTCTCTGTCATATCCTTCAATATATCGACCCAACCAGTTGTGGAGTCTTTGGACCCCCAACCCGGAAGACGACAGACGTCACTCTACCAGATCGCTCTCTACATTGATTCATGTCTCGTCTCCACGCCATCTTTTGGGGTTCCTCGCGGTTTCCTCCAGCCTGGAGCGAATAAAGCGCGGTGCACAGACTACAGCTGTACATACGTAATACGTGCCCTAACCAGCGAAGCCTGCTAATCTGGATTTTATGAGCTTTTATGTTTATCTCTGAGGAACCTCCAATGAAACGGCAGATTACTAAACCGTTCACTACATCCCACGTGAGCTAAACTACGTAAATACCGGCAATCAGTTTATGAGTGTTTTAACTGAATCGCCTGTTTCAAAAGGTCGGTTTGAGGGACCGAAGTATGTGGATCATGGTGAGGTCATGGAGAACGATCAGGACGCATGGAGTTCGCCTGAACTAGTTTTCTGTTGATTTCCGTGTCTAACACCACCTAACGGTTTTGATATGGTGCGCGGTACTTACAGGAAATTAAATGGTTATCACTGAACCCAAACACGACATCAATTTGAGAGTTCTTCTAATTATTCGTGGTTTTTTATATCTCTCTGATCTGTGTTCGCAGTTCCATCGTTACCGAAAGTAATTTTTCACGGTCCCACTGATGGAAAGTTGATGGAACAGTTAATGGCGTTTTCCGAAACTGTGAATCAACGACTTGAGGTGCTAAGCGAGTGAGTTATTGTCTGTAACCGTTATGTGTTCCTGTTCACATCAGATTCGATATGACATCACTTGATTTTCTTTCCCCGTAATTATTGAGTGGAAGGTTTCAGATCCACCGGCTTTCAATTTTTAGACCAAACAACGATTTAAGATAATTGTCATTATTGGTGGTGTGTTCTCCGAGCCCTAAGACGCGCTGACCCGAAGTCACACCTCTGGAACCACTGCGCAACGACAGGTTGTGAGGTCGGAATCAGCGATGCAAAAGTAGTTGCAAGGGCAAGACGAAAAAGGGATTGTCTGGTCCTTGAAGCGCTGCATCCGACAAGCTCATCCAGTCGACACATGAAAATCGATAAAGATTACGGAAGGATTGTACAACCAGTGAGGAACGCGATCGACGGACAAACAAGCGTGACGCCAACCACAGCGCGAGGCACAAGCAGACCCAATTCATTCCATTTATCAATGGATCCTAGTTTGGATTGAGACGTCTCAATAAACACGTCTCTTTCTCATTGGTCTCTTTTAACTATCCCTACGTTTCGTGTGCAGGAAATGAGTCCGGTTTAGTGATTTATTCAACGTTGGCATCCGCCTTGAATCGCTTAAGTGTAAACAAATGACACCTCATCTCTAAGTCACTTTTTGAAATGCAACTGCAGTTTTTTCCGATCTGTTTAATTACGCAACTCCTTTTGTAAAATCAACTGAAATAATCTCTTTGGATTTGAAGTCAATTTCGATAGTTGTTGTTGGTATAAAAATGTGTCACTGTGCTACCTCATTATCCTAGCTGTTTGTGATCCATACATCGTAGTCTTTTTTTATTCATTTGACAAGTCTCGTGTATTGGCTCGATGATTCTAGTATGGTATTGATGGTCTTCACTTAAACTTCCCTGTCCTAGGAACTTACGCTCTACCAATGCGCGCGTTTTTGATATGGCTACGAAAACCACCCTGAATTCGAATTCCTTGAAGGATCAAATGTCTGAATTTAAAGAACAGTTGAATAATTATTCAACTGCGTTGAAACAGTGGCAGCTGGAATGGCAAGCTCATCAGGCCTCTTCCAGTGTTCCTCAAACGAATGAGGTTGAATCAGTGTCCGAAACTAGTATGGAGACTTTGCTCCACTCCGCAATTAATCTGATGAACCAGACAGTTTTGATGCATATCGAGTCGCTACAGATCGAACTTCGTGCAGATGAGTCAGGACGATGGAAACAGTATGAAGAACGCTTGTCTAAACTGACTCTTCTATTGGCCAACTTGCGGTTTCAGTTAACTTATCGTATTCGTCAAACAGAACATCAGGTAATTTTACATTGTAAATACACTATAGATACATTATAATTTGTTCCACTCCACGGGCGTTGGTATCTCTGCAAAGGTTTTTGAAAGCTTTGCTCTATTTTTGAAATAAAATTATCAATTTTGAAGTTCATTTATCGTGTATGTAAGATGCACTTCTTCTCATCAATAGATTGGTCATTTCTGTTATCTGTAGTCATTGACCTGGCGTAGAAAGGACCTGGTGCATAACACAGGGTGGTCTGTGTCTACGGGCAGTTGATCCAGCTGTCAATCTCACTCTAGCTGATGAAGTAATAGAAGTGAACACATTTTAGTACTTTACTTTTTTACTAAATCCCGCAGGAAGATAAGTCGGCTTCATGGATGTCTCTAATGAATGCAGCCCATGCGTGGAGATCGGCGGTAAGGTTGTCGCCGTTCCTGTTCCAGGTAGAAATTCGATATACTGATTGAAGGTCCCCTTATTCCCAATTCGCCTTGGTCGTACTGCTCTAGGTCTTCAGTTGACTGCCGAGTCGGCGCCGCCAGTCACGTTACCGTGCGTCGAGAGTTGAGTGTTGGGCCTTCGGAGCTCGTGGCCGAAACGCTGCAGGCCCCGGCGTTGTTGCATTTTCGAAGCCTTGTCGATGTTCGATCAGTGTCGTCGAACCTGATCATTGGAAGCCCGATCTTTTCAATTTACTTTCGNNNNTACTTTCGATATATATATATATATATATATATATATGTATATATAAATATAACACCGGCTGCAGAACAAATATGGTGCGAACGCAACGACAATATTAACATTAACATTAACGAGAGGGGGTTGGGAAACAGACGTAATTAATAGAATGGAAGATTACGAATAAATTGAATAAAAATTGTTTTGTGTTTCACCGTACACTTTTTGATATACTTTTTGTGTTGTTTGTTGCTTTTACGGGGCAAGGGATTTTGACCGGAAAAGGATACAGCATTCGCGCCACTGACTTCTATTCTGGGCCATATCTCTCAGTATCTTTAA